ACATCTTGCTTTTGCCTGTATCCTTAGGTCAACTTCAAGCCAGCAGAAGATATAAAGACAGTACATGTTCCTTTGGTGGATGATCTCTTCTTGTCCACTGGCAGCAAAGTACTTCCACACCTATCCTGCTGGACCTCACTGCTGCAGCCTTTGGTGCATGTCATCACCAGATAATCTTGCCCTGCCTCCAAGAGGCTGATGAGATGGAAGGAAAGTGTGTCAGGTTCTTCCTCTCAGACCAAACACATTCCATGAGCCTCTGTTCTTCCATGTCCAAAGCCTTCATTTTCAGAGTCCCACAAGACTCACTCCTCTCCCTCATATCATTCAACTTCTATATGAAGCCAAACTAACCAAGCTATTTTTCCTATAGTCTGGAATGGGAAAAAGAGAAAAGCTGTTATTTTCACTGATGTTTTCTATTTCTATTTACGTTTCTTAGGCAGGATGTAAAACGTTTTTAAATCAGCAGGACTGGATAACTTGCACACACGAATCTTAAAAGAAGGAGTTGGAGCCTATGGAAAATAGTATTTGATCATATAAGTTAACGACCATTGATCCGATTCCTAATTACACAGAAGACTTTATGCACTTTTGTGGCAGGGTAAAGGGGTACCAAAGAGGGCATAAATTACACTTACACTCACTTTAAGACCCCTTTACACTGTTGGATTAGTGTAAAAGGGTCTGAGTGTAACTGAGAATCAAGCCCAACGTTATAATGCATATGCACAGGGAGAAGAGTTAAGGTTACATAGGGACCTGATTTCTGAGTGCTTCCCTTTGTAAATTTAATGTTCTTTTAAATTTTGTTTTTCTGTATGCATTCACACATACGGTAAAATAGAGGGGATGGAGCCTCTGTATGTGGGTATGTAAATTTCTTATGAAATCAGTGTAGATGTCATAAAGAAGCCACAATCCACTCAATGTTTTACTAATATGCTCTACCCGTGTTTATAAACTTCTAATTTTGATAACTAATATACAATGTCTGTGTAAAGAGAAACAAAACAATTGCAAATATAAATAAATGGACAGTCCAATGAATTTGTTTTAAAGAAAACTCTAGGTCAACATTAAGCAGCACGCTGAGCCAGGAAATTGTCTTTATGAGCTGGTTAATGGTTTCAATTTGCATGGAACAGTAAAAAGAAAAATACAGTAACTATGATTCTTTTATTGCAGATTAGGAAAACATTACAAAGGGCTTTTTTATTAATTCCACAAAACTTTAATACTTCCAGAAAATCTGGCTGAATCAGGATTATGTTTAGGAGTGTTATTCAGTTTTAGAATGTCAAATGCATGGCACCTACTAAACTGACTAATTGCGGTAAAGGTGTTACATCCTCTTCCACAACCACACTTAATAACTTGGAAACTATGAAGATTTCCATTTGAAAATACAACTACAGTCTACTTGACTTTTTGTTCCTTCAGCAAATCATGGCTTCTGTGGAATAATTTAACAGAAATCCTATTAGCAAGGAATAGTCCATATTATATATAGTTCAAAAGAATATCCTTCTCAAAGCTTTTTGTCTTTTAAAGCATGAGAGATTCCCTAAATTTTAGAATTTTTTTTCAGCATTAACATTTATACTGTATTGTCTGAAAAAGGACTTTCCAACATTTCAGGCTCAATTACCTAGTAAAAGATAAAGAAGAAGTCACAATATCTAGAGTTGTGAATGTCATATGCATGAATTAAGGTACTATGAGGGGAAAAAGCTTCAATATATTTTCATTATTTTCAAGTTCTACTCAACAATGCAGAGTTCTTAAAAATGTTAATGTCTATATCTTTTAGGGTGAAATTCACCTCATTTCTCAATTAACCACATAATCTGATATAAACTCTGTGTTAATTCCCCAATCCTATAGACACATGCGCACATGCTTAATTTTACTTAATTACCTGCAGGATCGAGGCGTAAGTAATTAACATAGGGCTGATGCAGTACAGAGGGTCTTCTTTGGAATCTCTGTAGTGGGGTGAATTTCACCCTATAAGATTGAAAGATACTTGAGAAAATGGAGTTTATACTACAGCTATATACAATTTAATCCATGTCATTTGAATGGAAATTTGTTCTGTTCTAAACTTTCCTCTTGGAACCATTAGTGACTTGCCAAAATAATATAATTTCTACTATCCGTGATTTTCGCTAATGCTACCACCTACCTGTTCTTGAGTGATTTTTTTTTCAAAATACTGGCTATTCTTTCATACCAATCCTGTCATCCTTATGTTTTCCTTTTTCATCTGTTTTTCTCACAAAATTTTGTTACAGTGGTTGGAATAAATATAAGGGAAATTCCATGGTTCATGATAGACTCATGAGAAATCAGGCAATCTTAAAATATTTCAGAGTAAGGAAGTACTATAGAGGAACACTATGTTTTACATTTGTGACTTCTGTTTTGACTCTTGCCCTCAAGATTTCAATGACATAGAACAATCAATATTTTTGCTTCCTTCCCCTGCCTCTACAAGCACAGTTGGATTTCTGGATGATGGTTTGTGACTGGAGAGCCTCAAAAGCTTTGGAGGTTCAGTTTGGATAAGAACCCCAAGATCTAGATAACCTGCTGCTCCCCCCCCCCCCCCACAAAAATGTTCAGAACCATTGGGTTGTCAGAGTTGGGTTAGAAGTGTTGCAAAAACTTGTTTTTCTGAGACTTCAAATACTTCCCACTTTGTGTTTGAACTTGGCCACAAATACCATTGAATAAAGCCTCCCATTCAGTATTTCATCACTAGCATCTCTGGTTCTGTAAATCAAGGAAGCAAAGGCATGGGTGAAAATGAAAACTGCATGGTTTGGAAAGATTTCTGAATTTCTCTGAATCTGAAAAAAAAATGCATTGTGTTTGAGTTTAAGGTGAAGGTTTGGGTTGGCTCACTCATCCCTAATGAGTATGCCTCTTCTTATACTGTAGCATTTAAATCAGAGTTATATACCTTGTCCCATCTCCTAAATTTGCCTGGGCAATGTGTCGTCAGTTTTTTTCTTTTCTATGGTTTAAAAAAAAATTGTGAAGCAAGGCCCAGAGATTCACCTCATTCTAGTTTTTTGTTTCCCTTCTCCATCCTTTCCTTATGCTTCTTCATTCTGTGGAATTTTATCTGATCCTTTACTCATTATTCCAAGAATTAAAAGTTGAGATCCCTATTTTTCTCACTTTAGTTCTAATTAATTACAAACCAATGCAAATTATGGTCAGTCATTTTGATGGTTCATCTATCTCTACTTTTGCAAGCATTCATACAGTAAATAAAATATAACAAATGTTATTTATGTAACTCCAGAGTAAGTTAAAAGTTGCCCCTATTCTAGTTATTGCTCGTAGACTAGGTGAAATGAATTAGTAAGAGGAACTCTGGAAATCGCTCATTATATCTGCAGTATTATACATGCTTGACATTTATGCTAGTGCATTTTTATCTTTGCAAATGTACAAGAACAGCAAACTAGCATGTAATTTGGGAGACAGCTTCTAATACTGTGCAATGAAACACACAGCAGCTATGATTAATTGCATTAATTGCTCTTGACTGATGGAGTCTAATTGAAATCAAATACATATATAAAAATGCCTGATGTCACAGAAATCCTTGTTTTTAGTTTCCCTAACATTAGAGATGCTGTGGAAGCCTGATCAGGAAAGAACTGGTGTTAGCACTTGGGAGATGCACTTCTGTTTTGAGTAGATTAAGTAGCTCATTAGGGAAAGGAACAGTATTCCATTATTTGTTACCCATATAGATTAAATCCTGTTTTGATGGAGTCTAATGATGAACTCTTTATTTTTAGTAGCTTATACAAAAACCTGTAATAGAAAGATAAAATAATATTTGCATGGTGATTATAGCTTAGTTTTTGTTTTTTTATTACAAAAACACTAACAAGGCAGTGAAGGTTAGGGTTTCACAGGGTGTGGGTTGTATGGGGTTTTTTGTTTTGGAGAGGTTTTTTTGGTTATTCAATTCTGTTGATGATATGCAAGCTGGAACAAAACCGTGAGGAAAGATGGTCCAGTGGTCAGGGTGCTAACCTAGAACTAGGGCAACTGGGGTTCACTCCCTGCTGTGCTTTCTTTGTGACCCTGAGCAAATCTTTGGTCTGACCCAGTACGGGCATTCTTATGTTAATCACTTACACTGTCTGTGCCTCAGTTCCCTAGCTGCAAAATGGGAATAATTGTGGTTTCTGACCTCACAGTGTGATATGAAAATAGATACATTAAAAGATTGTGAGTTGCTCAGATACAGTAGTCATAGGGGTAATATAAGTACCTAAGGGCTTGTCGGCATAGCAATGGGTGCTAGAAGGGTGTGATTTCTAAAGCACATCAATATGTTGTGCACTAACTGGCCTACTAACAAACAGTACTATGTTAATGAGCACTAGGAAATTTTTAGTTCACATCAGCAGGGTCTACATGGTCCAGTTAGTGCATAACATGCTGGTGTGCATTAGAAATTACACCTCTTTAGTCACACTGCCATGCCATGTAGACAAGTTATAAGAGAGAAATTCCAGCTCCATTTCCCAGAGCTATATTGTCTAAATAGAGATAAAGATTCATCTTAGTCACTAATGTTAGCAGAAATGAAATGGCCAGAGCTATGAAGAAAAGACATGAACTCTCTCAAAATGTGAGGGTGTTCAGCTCGGAAGTTTGGTTCAGACCCATCTCTACAAGAAAAAACAAAACAGTGGGACAGGATTTTCAGAAGTGTTTAGTGTTGGCCTTACTCTGTTCCCATTGAAGTCTATGGAAAAAATTCCATTGACTTCAGTGGAGGAAGGTAGGTCAGTGCTGAGTGCTTTGAGAAATCCCTCTCAGTACATTTTGAGACAAATGCTTAATTTAGTGACTGAATATTTTTAAATTACAAAGTAAAAATTACACTTGGATTTTAAAAGATGAAGGCATTCAAATGTGGGTTTCCTTTTTTAAAAAAAAAAATCTTGTCTCTTATACAGTTTGAGGGCTGCAAGAAGGCCTTTTCCAGACTAGAAAATCTCAAGATTCATTTACGAAGCCACACAGGAGAAAAGCCCTACCTTTGTCAGCATCCAGGCTGTCAGAAAGCATTCAGTAACTCCAGTGATCGAGCCAAGCATCAGAGGACACACTTGGACACTGTAAGAAATAAAAGATCTCAAATTTGATTTCTTGTTAACCTGTTAAATCCTTTTTCTCTTAGCTGATCGCATCAAATACTGTATATAATTGGAGATGGGAGAATAGGAAGAGATGTCAGTTAATAGAGTTTGAGCTGTGGCAGAGATGACATAGTCCAGGGGTGGCCAAACTGTAGCTTGCTAGCAACATGCAGCTCTTTTACCATTAAAGTGCAGCTTGCAAACCCCTCCATCCCCTCTCCATTCTCCGCCTACCACACTGGGTGGGGGGAGGGAGGTAGGAGCTTCTGCCCAGCAGGGAGGAGGGTCTTGGGGCTTCAGCCCTGCGGGGCGCGTCTGCCGGTGCTTGGCAGGAGTGGGGCTGAAGTCCCAAGCCCTGGCCCCTGGCAGGTGTGCTCTGGGTCTCAAACTTCTGAAGATTGTCGTATGTGGCTCGGATGGTCAGTAAATTTGGCCACCCCTGACATAGTGTCAGTCAGGAGAGTTACCAAGTTGTGTTCAGTTTTCCCCATTTCCTTTGCTTGTAATAACACTGGGACTGACTGTGACAGAAACAGTTAGTCTGCTGGCCTGTATGTTCTGAGGAGGCTCTGGTTACTGACTGAGGTATATAAAGGTAAGTAGTGGAGATGGGCCAAGGTTACAAAATTCAGATTTGGATCCAGATTTTGAATACCACAAAATTCTGGAGTTTTTGGAAACAGGATAATGGACCACTGTGGAATCTGGATCCAGGTTTGAGTCTGAAGTTTGGAGATTTCCAGGTGTGAAGTTTTGGATCAGGGCTATCTCCAGTCAGTACACTTTGAAGTTGGAATTAAGGCATAAATGCCTGGGCTATAACAGAATGGTCTGATGATGAACGTATTAGCCTTTGCCTACAGAGATACCACAGTGCATAAGAAAACCCATTCAGATAGGAGCAAGACTTTGGAAAATCAAAATGTATCTTCTACAAGAATATATCCCAAAATACAGAACACATTAAGGGCAAAGATCTGTCTGTTTTAGTCACACTACTTCATTAACTTCAGCAGGACTATTCACTTGGGCAAGGCGAGCCTTATTTGGGCTCTTAACTCTTATTACTGGTAGATTAGTGATCAGTGCAAATGTGGCATGCTACTTTTTAAAAAATGGTATGTAATATAAACAATTGACTTAGGGCCTGATTCAAAGCCTAGTAAAGTCAACAGGAATCTTTCCATTGGCTCCATTGGGTTTTGAATCTGGCCCTTAATGGTTATTATCAAGTTCTGCTCTATTTTAAGACACATAGGTATTCATTATGTGGTATTGCAGGTTCTGTAGATAAGAAGTTATTCCATGTCACAACATATAATGAATGTGCAATGAGAGGCTGCTGAGAACATTACCAGAAAGCAGAACATTCAGCTAGATTCAGTTTTCCAAATCACAAAACAAAAAAGTTTCTCATTTAAGTTTTAGGCCTTCCTGCATCAGTTCAATAGTTGCAGGAGGGAGAATGGCTGAAGAGATCCGTTTTAAAGTAGCTCTGTTGCTTTTCACTCTGAAATGCTTTCTGTGGGAGGGAACCATTCTTCTCAGCAGAAATGGGTTTTTTTTCACTGCAAAGAGCCTGTAATTTCTGAAAGCCAGTTAAAATGCTGCTTAGAAAAAAAATATCTAAAACATAGTGCTTCAAGATAATAAACAGAATAAATGTGTCACCTTAAAGTGATAAATATGCATACATAAGCCAGATAAGTAGTTAGAAGGAGCTAAGCTGTAGCCGCACAACCTGCCCGTGGTTGAGGGAGTAAATTTCCCCCCTCTTCCACAATCCTCAAGACTCCAATAATCAGAAACATCAATAATAACATATAGTTATCACTAGATAAAAGTTTTACTAAGGCGAAGTTAAGATTGAGAGTACATATCAAGAAGTTAAGGGCAAAACTCTATTAGCAAAAATAAAATAAACTAAATTTTATGCAACCAAAATATTGTTTGTGAATTATGGGGTTTTAGCCAAGATTTATTTAATAAACAAAATTTGTTTGACAACAAAATAAAATGTAGTTTTAAGCAGAAGCAGACGGAGTTTATAAAGGGCATACCATCGGGAAACAGAAATAATAGCATATGACTTAGCTGACCAGTCGTACAACTTAAATAGCAAATTTCAAATAATGAATAGTGAACAGAATGTTCAATATAAACAGTTCACAATTTCGTAAAAAATGTGATCTGTTTGCATATATTCTCTGAACAAAGTAAAGAGTTAAATTTATAAAATAATTGTTTGCAATAATAGTTGCACCAATTCTAATATTTACATATTATAGACATTCCATATTGTAGCGCAACTACAATTCAGGAAATACCTCAAGGGGTGTCAGAGAGCAGGCAAGTTAGAGCAAGTAGATGTGACTTTTAGTGAATCTAAAAACAACATACATGGACGTTTCAGGATTGTATATGTTGGCAATATTGTATATTTGTTATTGGCAATTAAGAGATGAAAAAATAGTCCTGTCCTTTACATAAAAATACATATTCTTTGCATATTCCTTTTTATTGCCTTCAGTGTTTTAGAACTGTAGTGTTTAAAGGTTGCTTTGTTGTTGTTTCCTCTCTTTGTCATATAGTAGACTAACCTTTTCTCTTATTCTCTGTCTTTCTGAAGCAGGTTTCCTCTATAACTCTTAAGCAGTCTGTCCAGGACTTTACTGCAGTTTCTTTACCTGACTTACTAAAGAATGTAATTTCTGACTAAGTCAAAGATTGCTGTGAGGGTGACATAATTGTAAGTACTACTGGAGATACTCATTCATAATGATAAAAAGAATGATGAGGTAAAAGGAAATATGGCATGGTAAAATTAAAAATAGGCATTTAAACATCAGAAAAGATTAATTTACTTTCTCTTGCTTGCAAACCTTCCTTTCCTCTTTACCATGCCATTAAACTACTGGGCATTCTACCTGTGGTACTGCTCAGTGTAGCCAATCAATAGCAAGACTTCAAATGGATTTTCCCCAGTTAAAATAATCTGTGGTTTAACTGATTTTTCTCTGTGCTTTTTTGGTTTGTTTTTGTTTTAGAAACCTTATGCATGTCAGATTCCAGGATGTACTAAGCGATACACAGACCCAAGCTCCCTGAGAAAGCATGTAAAGGCACATTCTTCCAAAGACCAACAGGCCAGGAAAAAGGTAACTTTCCCAGAGGATTGTTCTGCATAGGAATTATATATTGAGGGTAGTGTTGTAACACTAGAAGTATTGAGACATCTTAAGTACCAGCACTTGTGAAACTGTAGAGCCTTGGTCTGGGACTGCTTGATTAAAGAAACCATCCATGAACAAGTTGTAAATCCAGTGTGTGCATAGATGATACTTTCAGTTTTGACTCAATAAGGCTGATTGTTTTACTAGAAGTCCAGCAGAGATTATCATCTGTTGATATAATGATTAATCATAACGAATATATGTAACTCAGTATATGGAAAAATAATTTTGAGAAGGGAGATTTATTTGTAAAATTCTTTCACCACGTAAGTATATTGTGATGCAACATCCAGTTTATGCTGCCAATCTGAGATCGATAGATGTATATTGAGGATTGATGGATGGTAGGTCAAACTGACCTGTATAGAAACATTAGTATATTTTCATACATCTCAGCCATTTTCAAACCTCAAGCTATTTCACAATGCTGAGTCCCAGGTTTCTCAGTCCCATGGGAAAAAAAGTTAGCTGAGGACATGATCTGATTTTTCCCCCACATCTCAAGCCCATTTTTACTATAAACCATGTTATACTGTTTTAGACCAATGAGGATAAGTGCAATGCTTTAATTTAAAAAACTGATGAGGATGGAGATGGTCTTGTTTGCACTACGGGGGTAAGTTACGCTACTCCAGCTACATGAATAACATAGCTGGAGTCAACATAGCTTAGGTTGATTTACTGCAGTGTCTACACCGCACTGTGTCGACAGGACACTCTCTCCCGTCGACTTACCTTACTCCTCTTGTTCCAGTGGAATACCGGAGTCAACCAGAGAGTGCTCTGCGGTCGATTTAGAGGGTCTTTACTAGACCCTGTAAATCTACCCCCGCTGCATCAATTGCAGCAGCGTCGATCCCCAGTAAGTGTAGACATAGCCTTAGAATAATATAGAGAGAGTTAAAACCCTAGAGTCATAACCCCTACAGAAGGGGCTATATTTAACTTGGGTGACAGCATGGATTGCCCTTGATTTGAATGGTAAAATTTTTTGTTTTGACAGTGTCTGAAACACTAAAGCATAGTCTTACAAACTGCAAAATGTAGGGCTAGATTGTGATTTAACTGTTTTTGCCCTGAGCATGTATCTGTGCTGCTCCCAGAGATCAGGGAATGAATTTTAATTGTTGGGAATTATAGTTTACTTCCTAATTCCCCCTTGTGTCAGGGGAAAAGTAATCTCCTAGTGGTCATTACTGTGCTGGCTGGCACCTTGACCCACCCCTACCTGCCCTCTCCTTGCCCATGTGTGGAGGAGGGCTGGTGGTGGTCCTGTGCAAACTGGTCTCCCGGCTGCACTGTGAACCATAGGGCACATAGCCCATGGAGAGGAACAAAGGGGTGTTATATGCCCCCCACTTACTGCCTTCCGTCAGCATGTGAGGCAAGCGGTTGCCATGCCTGAATGTTCTGTCAAATTTACATATGACACATTAAATAAAACTTGGATAATGTATCTGAACAGAGGGTATTAAACTCTTAGGTAACATTACATAATTGAATGTAAAATAATATGGTATGCTCTGTACATAATTGTGTCAAATTGCAGGAGTATGAGGGGTTCCATTCTTAGGATGACATTTCCCATATGGTTTTATTCATTTTCCATTCTTCTCTTATAACAGATTAAAGCTGGCCCTTTTAACTCCTCACATGGTGATTTTTTTTAGAATTAAATTTAAAGTTGTTTAGTTTTTTATCCAATCCATTTGATAAGGATTTATTTATCTGAGATGGGTTAATATGTGGAAGTGGAAATAAGTCAACCCAGCAAAAAAACAAAGGAAGAAATGTGGCATCAATCAAGCCAAATGTTTAAAAACATGCACTGAGGTCGCAGTGTATAATATTTACAAGGTACAGCGTAGTTACTGGACCTTTGAGAACTTATAATTGCTAACTCGCATCATGCTTTGGTATTTGAAATATCTCCTGGCGGTAATATAATAATAATAATAAAAAGTAAGAAACAATAAACCTTTTAAGGCAGAATTAAGATTATTTACGACTTTAATTAAAAATGAAAATTGGCTTAATGTCAAAAAAGCCTTTACAAAAAATGTGAATTCATCAAAAATAACCATAAAAATTCCAAGGTGATAAAGGCACAGTGGAGTAATAGTTCCAGCCCTAGGGAACTATTCTATTGAAAAGAATGAAACCCTTTGCTGTCACACCCTGTTAGTCATAGATTCATTTAATATATCTTGCCTGACTGCCTCTAATCCTCATTTTAACCTCCCCCTACACACTAAATGATATTATTTTGGTGTCTTAAGTTGCTAGCTATCCAAGATTGTACACTAAAATATGTTCTTGATGTTACACAGATTTTAAATAGCAGGGAAAATGTATTTGTGGCAATGGAGATGCCCTAGAATAAACTACTGTACTCACCATGTCAGTCTGAAGCTACACTGATTCTTCCACACAACTTTTCATAATCCATCCTCAAAGCTCCTTGCCCCTCCCTCTGCTGTGTAATGTAGACCAGAGAGATGTTGCAGTGAGAATCAAAATAGATTATCTATCTATCATGTAATAACTTTTCGCTGCTGTGATTTTGTGCTCTATTGTGCAAGGCAAAGTGCCTGATTCTGCAGTTCTTTTTCAGGCAAAACCCCTACTGATGTAAATTGAAGTCTTTCCTATTAAGGGAATGAATTCCTGACCCACTGAAGTCAGTGGCAAAACTATGTATAATATGCTGTTCAACAAATCGGAGCAAGAGTTTGTATTTTATTTTTAAATACAATATTGAAAATAAAACCCAAAAGTTTAGCTACATCTAGTTTTTCACCTTGTGAAATTTCTAAGAAATTCCCCACATGACATCAGAAAGGGGATGGGGAGAAGAGGAGAATCAGAACAGAGAGTGAATGCAAAGCCAGAAATATCAAATATCTGATCAAAGAAGTCTAAAATGCAATTCAGATAATCTTCTATTTAAAAAGTCTTTAATGACTTTCAGTCATGCATAGAAAACTGTATACAATAACAACACAAAATATTTTCTTTCTATATATTTTAATTGGAGATAAAAATAACACATAAGAGTATCTTTAAACAAAATTAAAAATGCAGCCTCCATGGTTGGAGTCCATCTCCCTAAAAACAGTTGGTTCAACTATCCCTAAGCATGGCCTATGGAAGTCAGCAATATGGAAGTACAGATAGTGCTCAGATTGGGAGAGGGTTGAATACTGGCTTGTAATGCCTCTGACCTATAATCAGCTGTAAGACATCCCCACTTCCGTGTTATCCCCTCCTTTAAACACTTCCTTTTATGCCAGGGAAATGCAATAATTCAGTGTAGTGAATCTGAAAGACAACAAATTTTAAAACACTTTTTTACACAATGTGCAACTACCTTAAGGAACTTATTACCACAAGATACCATAGAGGCCAAGAGCTTAGCAGGTTTCAAAAAAGTACCGGATATTTATGTGGATGATGAGTGTATCCACAGTACATTCATTAAAATTTTAAAAAATCCCCAGATTTGTAAGGGATATAAATCCCCATGCTTCAGGACAGAAGTCAACGTCATAGTAATGAGATTAGAAAGAACCTTGATTATTCCATAACTGGTCCCTTGCGGTTTCTCGTACATTCCTCTGAAGTATCTGGTCCGAGCCACTGTTGCAGACAGCATAGGACCAGATGGATCTTGGGCCTGATCTAATTCAGCAATTTGAATAGTTCTAAATGAATGAACAAAAAAGTAATTTTACAATCTGTGTTTTCTTGCTTTTTCCTTTCCCCCATTCCATTTTTATTCCTTTTTTCCTGTTCTCGCTTTCCATGTCCCCTCTCATTCTATCTCCCACTTTCACTAGGTGTGATTTTTTTTAAAGATATGCAACCAAAACTCATATAAACTGTAATGGGAGGTTGGGGTGCATATGCTATGGTAAAATTGGTCCCAGTATCATTCTATCTTTGTTTCTGTCTCTTTAATAGACTCTGCTTTTCTCTTTTCTTTTCTCTCCTCCCTTACCTTTACCCTTCCTCTGTCCCCATACACATTCTGTATCTGAACTATTTCTTCAGAAATATGTATGCTAAAGCAACTAAATGTTTCACATTTAATGTTACAAGGATCATTTCATCTCCCATTCATGATTATATAACAATCCTGTGGCATCTTGACTTCAGTGCACCTACACAAATGATGAGAATCTGGCCTTTTAAAGGTGAAAGCTCCAAAAATGACATAAAATCTGCTTTCTATACATAAATATGTCCCAGCTTCAATATCCAATACTTCGGGCCATTCCAGGGCCAGAAGCAAGTGTTATGCTTTCTGTTGGGAAGTTGGGAATCTCTCCATCCCAAAGGAATGAAGCTCCAGTTTCTAGCCCTGCAGTGTCATGAAGTAACAGATTTTTATGTAAAGAAAGGCTGTCACTGGCCTAGGACTGAATATTGCCCAGTCTGACCTCAGGACTGTGTGACTTTTGCAGGGAAAATTCTGCATTTGGGGGTAGAAGTAGGTTGCCAGGTGTCTGGTTTTTGACCGGAACGCCTGGTTGAAAAAGGACCCTGGTGGCTCCGGTCAGCAGTGCTGACTGGACCATTAAATGTCCAGTCAGCGGCATAGTGGGGCTAAGGCAGGCTCCCTGCCTGCCATGGCTCCATGAGGCTCCCAGAGCAGTGGCATGTACCCACTCCAGCTCCTATGCATAGGGGCAGCCAGGGGGCTCTGCACGCTGCCCCCACCCCAAGCGCTGGCTCTTCAGCTCCCATTGGCCAGGAACCATGGCCAATGGAAGCTTCAGCGGCAGCGCCTGTGGATGGGACAGCGCTCTGCAGAGCCACCTGGCTGTGCCTCCGCATAGGAGCTGTAGGGGGACATGCCGCTGCTTCTGAGAGCTGCTTGATGTCCCAACCCCGTGCCCCAGTCCTGATCCCCCCCTCCCACC